GTGAGATGCTCCAAGGTAGGTTGTCACTCTTGATGCATTAGTCTGATAACACTGGTATCCTTTATCAGTGATTTCCTCTCTATCAGAAGCCTTGGTTGCCAGTGCCTAGATCATTTGATTCGATCACCTTGCAGAGAACCCGATGCTTGATTTCTCATATCCTGTTATAACCCAGCCAACTGCTCTTGCAACCGATCTTATGATTCCTCATGAGATTGCTCCATTGTTTTTATTTGTTTGTTCATGATGATGAGGAAGTAGTATGAATGAATGATCTTGGTATTACTGTCGCAAAACCCTGCCATAAATTATTTTCACATTTTCATAACTAATGCATGTAAAATGTTTAATTAAACAAATGCAATGAAAATGCATGTATGCAAAAGGTGTCATTCCAGAGTTACCATCTTAAAACAACTTTCATTGAACACAAAGGTTTCGATAAATCAAAAACCAATTTAACTTCCACTCATGCTCGGGTGTTGAGTTGTCAATCTGCTTCAATTATCTAGCAAAGCTAACTAAATCAACCAATTTGTGAGCCACGTTGCTTTCTTGGGTCATAGCTTCTTTCATGACGTTGTCTTTTTCCTCTATCTTGAGTACCGATTCTCGGAGCTATAGACACTGCTGTTGAATTTTCCTTGTAAGAAAGTATTTGCGATTATGAAGCTCTTGTACAATCATCTACAATCTTCATCAATGTCTTGTTCATAGCTCTAGTGGCTTCTAGCTCAACATTATTCTCATGCTTGTGGTGTTGATATGAAGCTTCCATATTAGCAATGGACATATTCAACATATGGTTTTCGGCTTGATATCTTCCCAAATCATTAACAGTTGTATTGCGCCTTTTTTCTTCAATACGTAAATCATAAGAAAACTTCTCGGCTCGACCTTCATGCACCTTGGAATTCTTTCTCCATTGTTTAACATCATTATTCAGTTTAGTGACCCTTGTTATCCACTCCTCTGGGATATTTCCTATACCAACATTTTTAAAGACTTGATTAATCCTTTGAAAACCATCATGCATGGCTTCCATATCTTCCTCCTGGATGCCCCACTGATACCCTTACCTTTGGACACTTTTGGCTCAAACTTAATAGGACAATTCGTTACCAAACTATTTCAACCTTTCAATTCGAACTCTAATACTCCATGATCCAAAAGATGTTTGACTCAATGTTTGAAGGATGTGCAATTCTCAATGGAATGTCCTTGAGCTCCAGCATGATATTCACAACGAACGTTGTCGTCATACCAATTTGGATATGGAGGTTGCCAAGGTTTCACATAATGCAGGGCCACCTCTCAGGCTTCTAACAACTTATCATACAACTCATTATATGATACCGGGATATAATCAAAATGAAAGCCACTTCTCGACTTGGATTGAACTGAAGTTTTCAGGTTTACCACCCCTGACGTTGGAAATAAACTATCAAATACCAATGAATTCGAATTGCATGGCTTCTTTTCATCGTTCTGAACTTCTACAGTTGTCACCATTTCATTGAGATTGTTTTCATCGAGCTCTTTCTTTCTTTTGTAGTAGTCTCTCTTTCTTTGGCCAAAGCATCTATTCTATCCATCATCTTGGACATCTGCTCTTTCATCTCTCTTATCTCCTTTTTATCTTCATCGAACATACAATCTTTGGGTGCATACCTCTCCACTATTCTTGGAGCTTCCTCAAAATTCCATTCCTCGGCTGTGTTATAGTTTACTTGATCACGAAACCCTTTGTCCATCAATAAAACCTTTTACTATGATGATCACTCACAAATCAACACCTTTTGATTATGTCATGATCATGCAAAGCAAGCAAAAAGAAAAAAAACATAAAAAAAGTTAGTACAAATAAGATAACAAAATATAAAAAAAAGCAAAAATAACAAAATTAATTAATTAATAAGCTAATGGAAAATAATAATGCGAATGCAAATGCACAAGGTGTTAATTCCAAAAGCGACCACCATAGAATAACCTTCATTTAGACAACAATATTTCATTACACCATTTAGTTAAAATAAAATTGTGATTCTTCATTTCTTCATTTTCTTGAGTCGTACTCCCAAAGTTCTCAATGTACTTTTTCACATTGGATGACGTCGGATGTCCTTAAATTATTTATGGTTGAATCTTGAGATCACTATTTTTACTTCTATTGCGAAGTGGTCTTCATGTCTTTGTGAAGGGTCTTCTCATCCTTGGTATGATTGTATCTATCTCTTGATGGAGCATCTCGGCCTTTCCGCCTTTAAAAAAGGTTTTCATTCAGCTTCAAACTTTTTCATTCATCGGATGTCCTTCTTCATGGATCATTTGAACATCTTTGGATCTTTTTGATTTTGACTACATGGTTAAGAATTTATTGTCTCATTATGACTAACCTTCTTATTTAGTCAATCACTTGAGAATTAACACCTTTGGATGACATGAAGATGCAAATGCAATAAAATAAAAATAAAATAGACTCAGAACAAAAATGGGTTAATACACATAAGATAAACAATAAAATAATAAGTATTGTAATCATTAAATAAAACCTACTCTCACATGTTGGCTACCCAATCATGCTTTAGTAGATCCTACCCAACATGATATCTACCCACATGCTTTGTTATTCACAAAAAAATCATAAATGCTTGATATTTACTTCGTATGCTTGTTTGAAAAATAAATCTAACTACATGATCTCTAGTTCTCATACATTTATCAGGAGAGTAAAATTATACTACAAAAATTAAAAAGACTCAAAAAGTATTTCATTGTGTACCCTTCTCACGGGATTTTTAAGGTTTGGGTTAGGCTCTAACGAGGCTCAGATTTCTAGGTTCACTATATGCTAAGTTCAGCTCTAAAGTAAAAGCTTTTCGAATTGTCCTTGTCAGTTCCCCCCTTAGGCTGCCATACCCTCAATCCTGGCCCATCACATGCTTTTGGATCGAGTTCAATTCAAGGGAACACACCTCCTTATGTCCGTGTGAAGGTAAATACCATCACGAGGACCATAAGGGGTGAGCTCCAGGAGCGATTCACTATCCTATGCGGAGGTGAAAACCACATAAGGGAGTAGCTTCTAACTTCTACTTAAATTGGACAGAGCAGGGTTTTAGCTCGTGTTATGATGATGCAATTGTGCAGTGTGTGAGGAAAATAAAAAAATAACACAATCAGACAAACAAAAAAATAAATTCCCAATTACTTTTAAGACACACAATTAATCTGAAAACATTAGCAAACAAGTCAGTACAACTATTCAGTGGTTAATCAAATTAAAAAATTTTAAAACCAAACAAGGGATCAAAAACCAAATTAGAACAAACTTGTAACTTTCACTTGTAAAGACAATTAACTAATTGACTATCGGCATGACTCTCTAAAAAAGTCCACAGCGGAGTCGCCAAGTTGTCGAAGTGATTTTTTTCTTAAGTGAGATTTATAAACCGCACATTTTTTTAATTATCTCTTTTGGTTAATTTTTAATTAAAAAGTAATGTTATTTAAAAAAAACCTCTCGTTTCAAAATATTTGGGATTCCCTTTAAAATAAAAAACGTATGGTTCGAGGAGTCGCCACCAATCTTTAATTAGGGTGTGATTGAGCACCCAAAACGTATTTGGTCATTTTAATAAAATATCAATTTTAATTAAAACAACAAATTGAGGTAAGCGTTACCAAAATTCGAGTTCAAGAGTCGGTTACGCGTGGGGAAGGATTAGCACCCCCACAACGCCCTAAATCTATACCTAGTTGATTAATTAATGTATTTGCAATGAATTTAACAAATTCAAATTTAATTTAGCTTATGATCCCATAAAACAAAAATTTATGAATTTTAAAATGAAATCTAATAATATTTAATTATTTCCTATCGAGAAGAAAACAACCCCTCATACCATGATGCAATAAATTTTTACTCCAATCGTAATAAAGAAATATTACAGTTCCATCATAATAGTCAAATGTACAAAAACAAATTAAATTAAAAACTACCGATTCTTTTTAGAAAGAAGAAGAATATTTGATTATTTAACAACATCGAGATCAGACTTTAGATAAGTTCTAACAATCTTTTCTTGAAGAATTTAAATGAACAAATATTTTTTATTCTCTCATTCCCAAATTTTAGGTGAGGAATCATTTTTAGGTTTCTCTGTTGAAATACACTTTCATTTTAAAATCATCGAAAGTAGCTCTCTAATAAGTTAAGATAAGCCACTCACAACGATTTTAAAATAAAATGGTACTACCCTTAATCCAATTATTTGAATCGAGTGAAGATATGCTTATGAGCATATCATGCGTATTAATTAAAAGATATCATGTACCTAAATTTATATTTATAAATGAATACAACCATATATATAATTTATAACCATGTTAAAAAGGGGGACTAATAATAGTCAAATTTGGCTAAGGAAACATACATATATGATAATTCAATTAAAATTGTGACACATATAAAAATAAATATGAGGCAATATATACGTACACATTAAATCAAACTATGATGGACTAAAAGGTATTGAAAACAAACGTGACAAGCTAAAATATAATTAATAGGAAATTGACAAATAAGTGGATGAAGGATCAAAGCAAAAAGGTGGCGACTTTAAAATCTAAACATCTAAATCAACAAGAATCAAGGCCACACATGCAAATATCATATAATATGGGCACTGGAATCACAATGGAACCATAAAACTTCATATATTGAACTAAAAATGGTATCTAAAATGCAATGCGCATAAAACAAAAGGTTCAAAATAAGATAATCCCAACTTCATTTGATAGCTTGAATGGAAACATTACAAGATTAGAGACCTTTATTTTAGAAATTACGCTTAAATCCAAAACATACAAACCCAAACTCATTTGTAACCCTCCTCTCGCTGCACAAATGTAGAGAAAGGGTCTTTCTCTGGAAAGCTCCACAAATGCTGCCTCGAACATTTCTAAAGACCTCAACTCTTTTGGGTTCTCTGATGAAGGCCAAATCCATGAAGAATAATAACCCGAAGGCTCTCCTCGGCATAAGGTGTTCTTTGAACCAGGTAATATTCTCTTAAACCCTATTTTTTCGTAAAGATTTAAACTAGAGAAGAAATAATACCTTAAAAGTAGGTCCTTCTTGCTTCGTGTTACACCTCTGCAATTCCCGTTTCTCTCTTCTTCTTCTTTTGTTTTTTTTTTTTTTGCTCTCGTTTTTTTTCTTTTTTTTTTATCCTCATTTCAAATGGTGCTACCCTATTCAGTTATATGGAGGCCTTGTAAGGTGCTGTCAAAATCAGGATGAAGGTCGTATAGCCTTTGACGTAAGGGCACCTGTTATTATGGGTTTTGCAAGGAACCACAACCATTGTACAAACCATGTCAGAGGGAAGGGGGACCAGTACACGTTGCTACCGAATCATTCCAGACCACCTTGCGTGGAGACTTGTTGCAATGTGGCTACTTGGGACCACTTTTACAGCAGCAAATGTGGAGACTTCACTACTGCAGTGGAGACCATCGATGAGTTGCTAGAGGACCACTGCTAGCGTGGCTATTAACCCGGGCAAAATTAGGGTATTACAATAGTCACTAGATGAATTAGCTAATGGCACAGGTATACACAATTTGAGTATCTACTAATCTGTGGAAATCATCATGGTACGACTAAGGGATTCTGCATCTCAGAGTTCACGCACCCCTCTAGCACTACCGGGATACCCTCAGGTACTCTAGGGTGAGATCCGAAAACTGCATCGTAAATGTACACCCTGCCAACTTATTTCGTCGAGTCTTGGGGCATATGTGCCCAGTTTGCTGTTGAAGTGCCTTGGCACTGACTTGGATCCACTGACTGTCAAAAATATGCTAAAGAGACTCGGGTGTCCTGACTGTTTCCTGAGCGTCAAACAACACTTGTTTTATGTAATCCTAACTGTTATTGTTTCTACTATTCTGATATTAATTATAGTTCAAACTTGTAATTTTATTCGTTGATATAATGATATTATGAGGTCCCTCTAGTCTATTGCACCATTCATTGGATTACTTATCCAAAACTACTTATCAATATCGATATCCATGCTCGGGTATCAATACTGACCTCTGGGTATCGATACATAATTGAATATCGATAGTAAAATTGCACACTGAATATGTGGGTCTCGATACCCCTCTTGTGAGTCTCAAGACTGGGCCTACAATATCGACACCCTATGTGGAAGTATCGATACCACTTTTTAAAAACCTTATTATTTATACATATTTGAAGAACATTATCGGTATTGTTCCTCTAGTTCCAATACTGACGCTCAAAAGTGCCCTGTTTTGAGCTCAAAAAATGCTAACTTTCCACTCTATAGGCCCTACTGAGGTCCCTAATTGTTAGTTAAGCATTATGTATGACTAGAGAGATCATAAAAAGGACTTATAAAATGTTGTAACAACAAATGATGCAATTTTCCATAGATATTTTCTACAACTCATGCAACTAAGTAAAGCTCACTGAATGAGCTCCAGGCAATACAGTTGTGTTATAAATGAGGTACCTTTTATTCTAAACTTGCTGTGAGAGTCCAAGGCTCAATCTAAAAAAAAATTCCTTCCCTTTGGCCTTAAAGCTTTCTCCAACCTCTCTCACTAACAAAGAAATAAGCACATGGATTACTAACTAAATTTAGAGGTTTAGAGAGGTTTGAAAATACTTTCTAAGGTTAGAAATCACTAAACTACGCTTTCCAATCTTTAAACTTCTAACCTTTACCAAGGTTTGGGAGAAAACGCAAGTGAATGGGGAAGAAGAGAAAAAAGAAAACCTTGTGGAGAAAAGGAGGGTTTGTTTCAGACGTGAGATCACCAATTCTTAATTGGTTTTCAAATTTAATTTTCAACAACGGTATAGTTACTCACTTAGCCCCTTTAAATTTGGGTGTAAACTAAAAATACCCATTTTTATTTATTATTGGGCTAATTCCAAACCCAATTTCACTTATTCTTGGGTTAAGACTTTCTACAACTATGGGTTATATTCGAAGCCCAAAACGAAAAAACCCAAAACTTCTAACCCAAAAATTTGGGGTATTACAACACTTCTCTTCAATACCCATTAATTTGGAGGGATGACTTATATGTTCTCGATTTATTGACGTTTATAGAGTAAACAAATTCGTTATTATGTAATTTGACTTAGTTATTGTACCTCTTATCAATACATCCTCTATAATGATCCTCGTTCTTAGTTATTCTGTATGCGATCGACTGAAGATACTTGAACATATTATGATTAGTATGGTTTCTTCAGTTGTAACTCACTCCTTCGAGTGTTTCTAGGCATCATTGGTCATTTATGTCCCCCACAGACTATGTTTTTCCATTATGGATCTTTCTTAATCTCTTACTAGTATAGGTTAACTTATTCACTTAGGCCTATAAGGGTATTTTTAGTGACTTTGCATGGTACAAAGTTTCTTTATCATATTATTCGTATACTACACCACCTCACTTGCAGGCATGTCCTTCACAATGATCCATCATTCACAAATACTCGATATGCACTCTTTTAAGGGTACTCTTAAGTTTTCTTACTCATTAAGAGTATTTTGGTAATTTATCCCTCCTAGGGAGCGTTTGGGTCATTTCATAATTTAGGACCCCTTTTCTAAGCTTAGTTTTACATTTTATAGTAATCTATAACCCTTCAAATGTAACGAGTGCTTTTTTGAATACTTTAGTGTTGAATAGTATAAGTACTCACAATATCGATAATAACAAAATTGGTACTCATAGTATAGATACTGCAAGGACAATATCGATATTACAAGAACATTATCGATACTGCAACTTAAAAACCCAGAAATAGGCTCGATAATCACCCAAAAATCATCTCAAAGGTATTAGTTTGATCCTAAAATATGAGTTAAAGCTGAAGGAAGTTATTTAGGGTCATAAAGTACCATAAAAACACATTCTTTACATAAAACATCATCTAGTCATAAAATTAAGCATAAATCATAAAATGCTCAAATACTCAAATCTTAACAAATCTTCATTCTTATGAAAGCCTTAACACCAAAAAGGATTAAAAATACATTACCTTAATGTTAGAAACCCGAAATGAAGCTCATTTAGCCAACCAACACTCTCCTTCAGGACTTGGATGATAAAACCCCTACCTTATTTAGCAAACTAAGAACCAAAAGTTTGAATCTTTAAAACAAGGTTGTTAGAGAGATTATGGACGAATTTGAAACTTAGAAGAAGTATAAAAGTTGCTCAAGAAATAACCTTTGAGCTAGGAACTTGGAGAAGAGATGGGGGAAGTAAGTGAGAATAAATGAAATGAAAGAAGGAGATTAAGAAAGCTAAAGTTCTCATCATTTTTAAAATGAGAAAATTACATTATTGGTACCTCTTCATCTTTCATATTTGCAAAAATCCTATTTTCTATGATCAATCGTGCCAAATTCCAACCCAATTAAGCCCAACTTGGTCCAATGACTTTAATTATGAACTTTATTAAGTCCACATACCTCTCGGGTAAACCCGAAACTACTAGCCCAAAATTTAGGGTGTTACATAATATGTGTTGTTACATGTATGTTTATTAAAGCTCCAAGAGAAATGGTGGAAGAAGGATATTCCAAAAGAAAAGAAATATCTAATTCAACCCTATATAAAGATCACAATTCAATTTTTTGTGGATTTTATTAAGATGAATGTCTCTAATTATTTTTATGTTAATTATATCCTAAGGGAACTATGATATTTACTCTCCTATGTGTTTGAATATTGCTATAATGAGGACTTAATCCTTTGTTATATGAAAATATGAAAAATAATGTATAATTTTTATTATGAGTATGATAGTGTAGATTATATATATATATATATATATATGAATGAATCATGACATTTGATGATATAGAGGTATGGGGAGAAATAAAGAGGGTTGAAGAGGTGAATGAAGCAATGGAGAATATAATGAAATATAGTCTCATGAATTGAAATGGTTCAATAATTTATGTTGCTAAAGACACAAATTTATTGCAAGAGTTTTATTTATGGACATAAAATAGAATTCTCATCATTTATTTGCATTGTGATATCGATAGCAATAGTATAACATTTTATAAATATTGTATAACAATGGAAATTGAAACTTTGATATAGGGTTATGTGATCATTTAAGTAATTTCTTATTAATTTATTATGATAATATATATATATATATATATATATTTTGAGCCTCATTAAAATTCATACTTAGTGTGTGATTGTTTTCATACATAAATGGTTGATCTGATATTCATAAAAGTTTGAAAGTTACATCTTTGAATAGAAATTAGTAGCATCTTAAGATCAACATTTTGTTAGTTAGTGTTGTTTTATGCCATGTACATGATTTAGGTAAATGTGATGAAACACCCTAATTCGATCTGATATAAAATCTGAAAGATTAGAATATTACATGGGACCACCGAAGTGATTAACCTAAATATTTTCTTTTAAAACATTACTTAACATTATCAAATAAGAAATCCATAATAATTTTATGTTTAAACATTCAAACATATTGTTTACAACATAGGAGCTCCCATTAGTGAAATCAAAATACATAAGTTTATAAATCAAGGTTTATGACTCAAATATGAATAAGGTTACTCATTAGTACATGCCCACTAAATATGTATTCAAGATGTACTCTAATCAATCGATCCAAACTGGAATCTCAAACTAGTAATAGCTCCTCAACTTATCACCCTAAGAGCCTACAGACAGAAACAAATTCCGAAAGCAATCTCATAAGCTCAGTGCCACAAAAATAAATCTAATATAATATATGCACTCATTACATAGGCATGCGAACAAGTATAGGCATGGGCACACAAATAAAGGTAGGCATCATGGTGTAGCCGAAAGGTCATTTAGCATATCGAGACTCACACCCTTTTATCCTACCTAAGGTACTCTAGAAAAGACCCGGGTCACTTAGCATCAAAGTATTCATCTAGAAAAGGCCCTCATAGCCCAATACTTAGGACGCCTTTGGAGTCACAGAGCATCAGAGCCTATATCCTGCTAGTCTACTCCTCAAAGTACTCTGGATGCCTCTAGGGTCACATAGCATCAAAGCCTACGTCTAATTAGCAATTTAAGTGCATAAGCACCGACTTAACATATATGGATATCAAACCACACAAGACGATCATCATATAGTTAAAGTAACTCGAATGTCTAAATTATTTCCTAAACACCACACACAAAGGCTAGTTTTATGCATCTTAATTCATGTCATTTCTAGTTATAGTTGTATTCATTAATTGTTCTCACTTATAGTTTTATTCAATGAATTTTTTATGGTCCTAAATACCCTTCCCAAACACTTGAATTTAAACGGGTCTTTTAGTTGATTCAGGATATTGGTACTGATACTAACCCTCTTTAAAGTATTGATACTTCAATACTAGGGTATCAATACCATCTTGAGTATCGATACTAAAACTAGATTTGATGTTTTAAAATTGATTCAGTATTGATACCCTTCACATTC